AGAAATGTCAGACATGGACGACTGATTAAAGCCAAAGTAATTGTTTTGTTAATGATTATGTGTTAAACTATTGAAATAATTTAATTTATTGTTATTAATTTTGTTGTTTCTTTTTGAAAGTTTAATTGAATTGATTGTTAATTAGGTAATATTAAAGTAAAATCTAAAAAACTATTAAAACAAAAAAGAAATGTTTAATTTACTGTTATTACCAAAGAAATTAAAAAGTGGATGATTTGTTATGCTTCTGTTTAATAAGTCAGTATTAATTAACATTTAATTAAATTATGTTCTGATGCTTGAATTGTAATACCTGTAAGTATACGTAATGTAATGCTTATATCCTGCAGCATCCTAATGCTTTATATGAGCACTGAGGAAAAGAAATTGTTAGAAAAATTGTCATTCTACTTAATAATGTAACAATGATGTTGGCATAGACTTGAAAGTGCAGTGGAATTCTTGTCGATATGCTTAGATATCGATGTATATCAAAACTTCGATATATCGATATATCGAAGCTTTGATACATATCGATTGTGATGCAGTTTTGCTTTGCTCCGCCACTGCCGTACCGATATAGCTTGGTGTCATGAAGCAAAATTTGATGAGTAAAAAAAAAAAGGAAAAAAAAGGTCATCAACTTTGAAAAAGTTGGAACTTGCACTCTTATTCCAGATTTTGAAAATCTCATCCCAGAAATTGTAGTAAATCAAATTTTTCCCTGGGCGTACGATATTTTTTCGTACATATACTTTTTTACTGTATGGTGGAAAATTTACAGTAAAATATATGTTATTCTTCATATACTAAAATACTTTTTTGCCAAATTTCAAGAATTTCTCATTACTTTTTCATACATTTTGGTGACTGAATTTATCTGTAAAATGCTCATTTCGTAGCGTATAAGCCATTTGCTCGTATGCAAAATTCGCAATTTTTTGATAAACGATATCTTGAAAACGGTATGGTGAGACAGTCTCAAATTTTGCAGGAGTATTCTTCAATAATTTCTTTAGTATCTCACAAAAATTCATTAAATTGGCATTACTTTTGATTTGTGTTAGAACTACCTTAAATAAAAAGACTTTTGTTTATAGCAACACAATTTGATTTACACATAAGAGAAAAAAAATTTAACCGTCTCTTTTGAAACGATTATTCGAACGGATAATGTTCGCTTACATATATATGCATACTAGTAATATACAAGTATATCAAAGTTCCCACAAATAAATGCAGTAACTCTACTATGCAAACTGTTGCGTACAGGTGCCTTGATCAGTACGATGTTCTTTATTTATCGTAAAATGAAACGGTTTTAAGGGATGGTGGAATAATGTGAATCGAATTGTTCCGTGGAGGACTGTGAATCGAATTGTTCCTTTATAATACGCTGCTGCGTTGTTGTATGTAAACTATCGCCCCGATGCTGAGCTGCCTGATGATTGCGTGATGAAATGTGGTTAGGCTGCCTTGTCGGGTGCCGATGAGTTTTCCTTGTTCTTGATGCGTTGGTTATATGTGAATCGAGTGTTGCTGCCTGAATGGATTGGATCGACGATTTTCCGTGGCCTTTTATAGGGAACGGGTAGTCCTGTGCACTCCCTTCCCCAAATTGATTGGCCAATGACCGTCGGGTCACTCTCCATGGTCCGTCGAACATAGCATAGGGTTGTAGAGGGAAATCAAGCTGCGCGGGAAAGCTTTGTCTTAAAGAAGCGGCGTTGGGTCCACTTGTGCTAGCGCATACGCCGAAAGAACCGGCGCCGGTAGGTCCCGCTTCTGTGTGCCTTGTTACAATCTTTGATCGCGTCA